AAATTGATTTTTATATTGAAAATTTGCAAAAAAGAACGAAATAATTATGGAAAAAATTATTAAAATATTTGATTTCAAAGGCCGTCAAAACTATTTTTATTTGTGTAGATATTGTTAGAATTTTACTGTTGAGCAATTTGTATAGCAATGATGGTATACCACTTACGGTATCCTATACAGACCCGATTTTGACCTATTCAGCGCACTACGTGATATTTAAAATGTGCGCCCCTGTTTTGCCGCGCCCATTCAAAATGTGTACTTTGCATATATGGTAGATCCGGCCCTGACCCTATAGCACTTTTTTAATTTTATTTAACTATTAATAATACTTGGATATAGTGTTATGAAGTTCTACTGATTGCAATTAAATTTTAGAGGTATACGTAACAATTTTTTAATGTAAGTATTAAATTTCATTAAATAAAGTAATAATAATTGAGAGAAATCTCTTTGGGATGCCCGAGAATAATTCTGTTGAACTTCTTTAAGGAGTTAAACTTTTCTTAAAAGAATAAAATTATAGATCTAGCGGAGAGGAGTGTGTCATGGAGGGGGATGCAGAGAGGACTACTATTGGACTAGTACAAGGTAACAGTGTTCAGGTTGCGATTTCCTTTCCCTAACTAGCTTTTTAACTAATATTGCAACTCAATTAGGCATTGTTATTTATAAATGAAATTTGTTGGGAATTTTAGGGTCTATGATGCATCACCAAGGTACCGTACTATGAATAAATGTTATATGTTATTTCATATAAGCTCTTGTTATCATACTTTTATATTCAAGTAATTTCAAGTTTTAAAATATAATTGTCCTACGAAATTTATCGCTTGGTTTTGTTTTTCTTTTAATCCTACTGTATGGTTTCTATTTATTTTATAATCCATATTATGCCACGTTGAATATTCTACTCCAACCTTTTAAACTCCTCGATTAATTAGACTTAAAACAATAATGCTTTTCATTAACCTTGAAACAAATCAACCTTTCTCATCGAATTTTTGTTTTTTTTTCATGTAACAGACAGACTGCTAGACATTTGAACTTTTTGACATTGTAATAAGAACATATTAAAAAACCTTTTGTAAATTCCTTTTAAAAAATAAAATCGTTTTTAAACCAAAAAATGAAGAAAGAAGAAAATAAAAAACTTTTTTGAGGATTTCTGAAGGATGGATTTGCTTTTTATTACTGTTTTGTTGTTATTATTATAAATGTTATTTTATTATTACTTATTATTTTGTTTGTTATTGTTGTGTTTGTTATGGTTGTTATACTCCTGCGGTGGTTACTTGAAATATTATTTGTTATTTCATCGTACGTGGTTTATTTTATTTTCGGTCTTAAATCATTTTTATATTTGCCTCCTTTTTTTTATTACTACTAAATTTTTCTTTATTTTTTATTGTTATTTTATTAAATTGAGAGCTTTATTTGATCAGGAATTATAAAACTGTGACTAACTTGTATGTAATAATAAAAAAAAAATCTCCCAGTTTTCTCAACTCAACATCTTATTGTGCACGAAATTTATGTGAGAGAAATTTTTGGAATGTGGAGAAGATGTAAAAAGAAAAGAAATACTTAAAGTATTTCAAGTGAGAGAGAAAGAGAAAGAAAGTGAGATGTTCTTAGAAAACGAGGGTGACAAAGTGAGAGGAAATGTATATTAAAATAGCAACAACAAATGTTGCCGAATTGTGGGAAATTTCCCATTTCGGGGGAATTTTGAAGTCTTGAAGAGTAAAAAGCAAAAAATCATGGGAAATTCTATTGAAAACTTTGGGAAAACTGGAAAAAAATAGCGTTCGGAAGGGACAAAAATTCGAATTTTAAAATTAAGAGTGGTAATTGAGCATTTAATAAAGTGTTGGCAACACTGTCAGCAAAAATATTTTTAAAAACACAGAGAAAGAAAAAAAAAATGAAATATGTGTACACTTTTGCTTTGCTTTTTTTGTACAAGGATATGAAAAAAGGATACAAAATGGAAACAAATATCCTGCGACATGTTGTTAAGACATTTTGTACTATGATTTCTCTTATATTTACAGATTTGATTTGATGTTTTTTCTTGTTTCTGTTTTTTTTTTTGTTCTTTTAAGAAAAGTTGAAAGACTTTTTCTTTGGTTTCTATACAGAAAAATTTTCCAACTTTTTGATGATGTATTTTTGGTTACTTGCTTTGCTTTACTATTCTTTTGTTATGACAATTGAATTTTTATATTTTAATGCACCATCATACCATATGTTTGCTCAGGTAGGTGTATTTGTATATATATTTTGTGTGTATAAAGGTGTATTTTGTGGTATTAATATGTGATTTAAGTTTGCTGTTTTTCTTATTTTAGAAAATTTTGATTGTATTTACTTTTTCTATTATTGCTTTTCTTCCCTTTAAAATTAGTCTAGACTATTAATTAGAGGATTTGTGCAAACAGTAAGCGAATTATTTTGTAGATTAATGGTGTAGTTTTGGTAATATGATTTTTTTTTTCGGTTACCTTTAATTAATTTTGTCGTTCACATAGGTAATTTTATTTTTCTGCCTGTATTTTATAAAAAATTTTGTCACCATATGTACGTACTTACATATATAGAACGAGAGTACGTTAAAATTTTTCTACTAATTTACTTATACTTAGTTATATAAGTAGACGAATAAAGAAAATGGCAACTTATTTTAAAATTTTCAAAAGGATTTGTGTGGTTTTGGAAGAAGAGGGTATTTAAACAAATATTTGAAAAAGGTATTTAATTACTTCTAAGGTAAAATTTGAAAATATAAATTTGAAAAATTTTAATTTTGTTGTTAAGTATAAGAGTATAAAAGGTGTTTTTAAAATGAAATTTCAGTCTAGAAGAATAAAATTACCATTGTTATGTTGTCGACTTTCTATATCGTTGCGTAATTTGCTAATTTAATTTATTTAAAAAAGAAAAAATTGATTAGTTATTTTAAAGGAACTTTCCTTAATAATTCAGATATTATCAAAATTTCTTCGAATAAGTCAAAGATCAGTCTGGAGCTCAAATTTAAATTTATTGAAATTTATTAAAATTAAAATAATCTATTAAAATAGAAGGGAAAATCCATGGAAAAATTTTATTCACTTTTATCAGTTCAGGTTGTTTCGCCATTTCAGCTATGAGCGAACTCATCAGTAAATGAACCAGTTGAAATTTGTTATATTTTATGTATAATTTTTAATAAATTAATTTTTTATTTAAGAAATTCATTATATTCAAATTCAATATAGAGTTCTTTAGATTAATTATTAAATTAGATTGGGATTCCGGGAGTCGCTCCTCCGAAACTTAGCGGAATCGGCCTATCCTTCACCAGGTAGGGTAGATTCCTGGAGCTGGTTCTGGATTAAAAGCTGAACTGGAGATTTCACATCACGGAGAGAGTAAAGAAAGCAACTATTGCGCTTTACTCGTGCAAGAGGGCCATCGGGAAGAGGTGGGGCCTGAAACCAAACATGGTTTATTGGCTATACACCGCGGTGGTAAAAGGGATTCTGATGTACGGAGTTCTGGTGTGGTGGCCGGCACTCCGTACTTCCTTAAACCTGAGGTTAATGAGCAGGGTTCAGAGGATGTCAATGGTGTGTGTTGGTGGGGCTCTTGAGATTCTCTTTCATCTGCTGCCATTAGATATACTGGGCAGGCAGATAGCTGCGGAGTGTGCAGTGCGCCTTGGGGCCACATCACAGTCGTCGTGTGGCCCCACAGGTCACGCTTTGATTCTTGTGGACTGTGGGCACGAGGTGGGGTCAATTGATTTGGTTCGTCCCGTGCTTTCATTCGTGAGGAATTTTTGAGTATCGGTCCTACCGAGGCAAAGCTGGCGGAACGCAGTCAGGAATGGCTCCGTCCACTTCTACAAGGATGGATCCAAACTTTATAGAAAGGTTGGTGGGGGTGTTTACTCTGAGCAATTGGGAGTTGAACTCTCCTTCCGCCTGCCGGACCACTGCAGTGTCTTTCAGGCAGAGGTGGTCGCAATTGGGGAGGCTCTGCGCTGGCTTGGTGAGCATGTGGTGTCTGTGGGCAGTGTTAGCATCTTCACGGACAGTCAGGCCGCAATAAGGGCGCTGGAGATGGAGACCTCTACGTCTAGAACGGTTCTAGATTGAAGGTCGTTTCTTAATGAGATGGCGAGGCAGTTCGAGTTAAACTTGGTTTGGTTCCTGGACACAGTGGGATCTCAGAGAATTGCAAGGCGGATGAACTTGCGAGACATTGAACGACCCTCGGAATTCTACCTGAAAAGGAGAACCTGGGCATGCCTCTAAGCACTCACAGGCTGCTGCTACGAGGTACAGCGGTGGAACGTACCAATCTCAGATGGGCGAACTAGACTTTCGCCGCACAAGGGATCAAATATCTCTCCGACGGGAGGATATTGGCACGGTGATAGGGGTTTTAACTGGACACTGTCTGATTGGCGAAAATGCCAGGAGGAAGAGCCGCCCGCAAACGATCTCTGTAGGAGCTGCTGTGACGAGGAGGAGGAGGAAGCGGTGACCCACTTGGTATGCTCGTGTTCGGCGTTGGCGAACTTTACTATTATAGCTTAATTATATACTGGTTATCTTAACCAGTGCCGGATTTACTCACAAAACTAAAAAGCCTGCAGCCAAGGGCCGCATAACAAGGAGGCCTGAAATTCAAAACTCAGTTTTCATTCTGTTATTTACAGTAAATATTACAGTTTAATAAAACTAACTCAAATTAATAACGAATTCAACAAGGGATTCAAAATGGCGTTATTATAGGGCTTCAAGCTGCGTAAAAGGTAGTGTTATATTAAGCCGAAAGAGGGAGGAACTAAAAATAAATTGGTCAATTTTTTGAACAGTTTAAATAGCATAAAAAATATTGAAATTCAATCAAAATATATTAAAAGAGGCCTTAATTAATATTGAACTTATGAAAGTATATTTAAAATTTCTAAAATTTTTAATAAAATAAATAAATTTTTCACTTACCGTTAAATTATTGTCAGCAATATTTAAATGCTTTAATGATATTAAACCATCAAATGCATTATCTTCTAATACTGATAATACATTACCACTTAAACTTAACATTATTAATTCTTTTAAATCTTCAAAACTTTCATTTTTAACATATTCAATTAAATTATATGACAAATCTAATGATTTTAATGAACGTAAATATTCTAAATTATTTCCTGGTACATCTAATAATTGATTATTTTGAAATATTAAAATTTCTAATGATATCATATTTTTAAAAATACCATCATCCATACTAACAATATAATTATTTGTTAAATCTAATTCAATTAAACTTGTTAAATCATTCATTGCTGTTGGATTTATAATATCAATACGATTATAACTAAGATCTAATAATAATAAATTATTTAAACCTTTAAATGAATCTTTTAATAAATTTGTAACACTATTATGACTTAAATTTAATGTTCTTAAATCACGTTGATATTCAAAATTTTTTGAGCCCAATGTTTCAATTAAATTTTGTGATAAATCCAATACTTCTAATTGTGTATAAAATGGTAATGTAAAATCAACATCACGTATTTTATTTAATGTTAAATTAATAAATTTTGTTTCGGGATTTAATTGTATTGGTACAACTTCTAAACCAACATTAATACATGATGTACGATAATTTAAATCACCTGTACTACATTTACATCTAGCTGGACAAAAGCTATATACTTGATGATTTGTTAATAATAATAAAAATATTAAAATAATTATTGAAAATATATTATTATTATTATTGTTATTAATTAAATTATATTGTTGTTGCTGTTTTTGTTTTTTATAATTAAATAAATTTTGTAATAAATTTAATAATATAAAATTTGTTTTATTACATTTATTATTATTATTGTTATTATCATTATTATTTATAAGATGCCTACTAGTTACTGTTGTTGTATTATTAAATATTGATTTTGTATGTAGTTTTTGTTGTTGCGTTTTTTGTGGTATTTCTTGTTGTTGTAATTGCTGTTGCTGCATTTCTTTATAATCTCCATCTCTATATTCCATTTTTAATTGTTTCTCTTCTAATTTCTGTTGTTCCTGTTGTTGTTGGTGAAGAATTATTGGTTGTTTTATTAATGATTTTTGATAGTAATAATTATTATTATTATTGCTATTATTATTATTACTTTCTTTAGTACAATAGTATTGATCAAAATTATATAAACTGGCAGTATTTAATAATGTTGCAGTTGGAAGTGATACTGTTGTTATTGTTCTATTATCAACTGTTCTATTTAATGATTTATTATAATTATTGATAATATCATTATTATTACTTAAATTACAATTATTTGTGCTATAGTGGTTGCTGTTACTGCTCCTACTGCTGCTGTTATTCTTGTTATTGTTATTATTATTGTTAGTATAACAATTTGTATTTATTAAAGATGTAGTAGATGATGTTGAATTAAATCCTAGAAGTTTTGTGGTTGTTGTTGTTGTAGTTTCTGTTTTATTATCATTATTATTTTTGTTGCTTCTGCTATTATAGTTATTAATATTAGTATATTTATATAAATTACTATTAATAACAATATTATTTGTTATACTGTTGTTAGGGATATTTTTTTTGTTATTGAAATTGGAACTACTAAAATCACTATTGCAAATGTTGCTATTGTTTATGCTGTTGTTGCTGTTATTGTACAATAAATTTGATTTCATGTTTTGCATTTTAATTTTCATTTTGAAAATTGTTTTATATTTTTGTTTTATTTATTTTCACTTTGTTCTATTTTGAAAATTTTATTTTACTGATTTTTTATATTATATTTTATTTATTTTATGTAGATACTGTTATATAATAACACTGTTATATAAGAGATACTGGTTGGTTAGTTTTGTTTAATTTGTATAACAGAATAAAAAAAAAAGTTGTTGCTGTTGATGGAATAATGAAAAAAATATCTTTACAATTTATTCAGCAATTATACAAGAAAAAAAACCAAAGCAACAGAAAATTTGAGTAAAAAATTGGTTTTTTCCTTTTGGTAATTTTAATGTTTTCGAAATGTAGGTTATTCTTCAACTCACTCCAATGAATTTTATTCTAATACAATGTACTTTATTTTGTATATAACATTTTCTCGTATAGTTTGTTACAAAATTTTTTAGTTCCTCCCTCTCTAAATTTTAATATTACATATATACGTAGATCTTTCTCTTCTTTACTCAAAAAAATTTTGTTTTTGTAAAATGTTTCGTTTTTTATTTTGTTTCAATGTTGTTAGTTTTGTGTTGTGTGCTAACGATGATGCATGAAGTATAAAATATTCGTTTTCCTTATATGAAAATTAAATTTTTTCCTCTTGTTGTTTCGCTTTGTTTTCTGATTTACTTTGATGTTATTTTATATTTATACACAAAAATGAATTTGCATTTTATAAAATACGAGATTTTTTGTATTTCATCCTGAAAATGAAGAAAAGAGAGAAAAAAAAATTTAAATATTTCTGTCGATTAAACAAACCATTTTATTTATTTGTGTTTTTTGTTAATTTTAAAATTTAATTTAATTTGCAAATTGAATATGTGGAATTTTTTTTTTTTTTTTTGTTAAAATGGAATTCAATTGTTTTATTTTAATTTTATGAAAATAAAATTTTTTTAAATGAAAACTTGTAAATGAAGTAAAATGAGATTTAAATTTTTTGTTTTTTGTGTTTTTGGAAGTGAATAATAAAGATTTATTTGATTTTAATAATTTAATTTAATTTACCGAGGTGATGAGAATAAGGAAGCTTTGTTCACGCTCAGGACTGAAATAAATTGTGATTTAGAGTTGAAGTTAGGCAGAGTATAGCACGTTTATATTAATTGACATGCTCAATAGACCAGCAATTTTCTATTCTGTTTAATGTAGTTTTAGTCAAAAAAGTGTCCAATGCAGTTAATTCCAAATCGTTGTGATAATTGGCACATACCCCATATTCCGCTTTCATTCTAGTAAAACAGAGAATGCTAATAAAAGCTTTGGTTTGTTTAAGTTGCGCACGATCATAAAAGATTAGTCGCGTCCCCCAACCTCTTCCCGAGATTTTTTCATTAGGTCAAGCAAAATATTGAATGCTTATGAAACCCATCCGCAGCTTCTGTTTGGATAAGTTGAGAAAGAGCATAAAGGGTTAGTCAGTTCCTTCACTCTTTTTCATTGCCTAATATTCATGTCCACCACCAACCTACTTTTTATCGCAGCTGCTGAAAAATTTTTTTGGCGGCAGATTCATATCACGCTACGCAGATTTGATAACCTTTTTTTACAATTGTCATGTGGTTTAAAGTTGAATTAACATGGTCTACCCTCCCCAGTCATTACTATTAACCAATAATATAAGTTATTAAAATTCCTTTTCTTCTAATAAAATAACATTATAAAACAGTCAAAATAACTACATAAAATATTTTAAAATAGCAACCTTAAAAAGAAGAAAAATTACCGCATTGCTTTTCTATTATACTTTAATATTTAAAATACCAACCATAACAAAAAAAGCAAAAATAATAAATTTTGTCCCAACTCTTCCATAAAAATTCCTTAAAATAACAAAAAACACGCATTCAAGATTTATTTAGATCAAATTAAAATTCATTTTCAACATAATTGTGTTGACCGTCATCAACAAATTATGTGCCGATAACAGCAACAAAATTTCATTAGGTAATAGCTATATAAATTGTATTTTAAATAAAATATAGTGTAGGAGGGGGAGAGAGGGGCAGGGGAATTCCATCATTCGTTCTTTTATTCACAAAATGTACGTAAAACGAGAAGAAAAGCCAAGAAAATGTAAAAAAGGCTTTAAAATATTTTCTTTTACACAAAATACAAAACCCACTTTACTTGTTCGTTCTTTCACAAATACAACGAAATCCATGCTGTCCTCCATTAATTTTAATTTTTCTTTAAGTGATTCTTGAAAAAGGTATAACGAAATATTTTATTTTCCATCATCGAAGGAATGTTATATAAAATTTTCCTTTTATTTTAAAAAAGATTTTTTTTTTTTTAAATACAAAATTTAAATATATACAAAGGAATATTTCGGGCTGTATATTTGTAGATATGTGTGTATGTAAATATTTTATTTTTAGTGTTATTCTAACATTTTAAATTAAATTTGTGTTAACGAAATGGTAAAAATGTCAAAATTGAAAATGTTTTTCTAAGGGCGGTAAGAAGGAATTTTCTTTAATAAATACAAACAAACTGAAACAAATCAGATATTTATTTAATTTATTTATTTTTTTGAGTTTGTTTTTGTGATTTTGGTTTATATTCTTTTGAATATTTTACGAGGATTGTTGAATAAAATATTACTAAAACGCATTGTAAAAGAAGGTATTAAATAGGACGAGTTGTAAATGCGTAAAGTTATGGAATTTCAAAATCGTTCTGAATTATGCGTTGCGTGATGTATATGAATGAGTACAGAACCTCCTTGGCCTGCCGCAAACCCGCAAGTTACCACACCTTGTCTGATTCTTTTTTTGGTTCTACATGAACAGTATATGCTCCGATTCCGGAAAAGAACTCTGGATTAAGAAAAGATGTGTTGGCCCTTACATGTGCCAGTGTGTCAACTGTCTCATTACTTAGCACAGAGTAACCCGATTGCGCGTACCTGATTCATTGAGCCTCTCAAAACAGTTCCATATTACCACGGAGGACACCGAAAACGAATTCAGCAGTCCAATGGCAGCTCGATTATTTCTTGTCTCCGATACCCCCTTTTAACGCTAATATGCATACACGTAAATCTGAAATACGCTCGGAAATGTAGGTTCAAAAAATTTGGTTCTTGGTCCAAATACCACCGCACCCCTTCCCATACTGATCTTTCGAAATGGTGGCTTTCGATTCTGTCTCAACAGGAAATACAAAGGGTTTGAACCCAAAATCACCTCCATTGCCGCAGTTAGGTACGTTCTCATAACTAATACGGTGTAGTTGCATGCGAGTCTGTACACTATATACAAATCATTGCATGGTATAAATTCACATTCTTGATTTTTCTCATTGCTCCCAACAAGATTTTATAGATTGAACATAATGATTGAAATTTCCCGGGAACTTCTTGCTCGTACTAGTTGAATTTTCGAAAAATTTTCCAATTTGACCTCGTACAATATTAACACACACAAAAGTATGTATGTATATAAAATGGAAATATAATCGATGTGGAAAATTAAAATAAACTTTATTTTCATGTAATTATTAAGTGATAATTTAAGTGCCATATTTGTTCAATATGTCATTAGAGTTCAATATTTTAATTTATTTTTCTATATTGGTACAGGTTTTAAGTTCAATACACTTTTAATTTATTTTCAATATGCTATATGGCAACATTTGTTTAACGTTATAGAGCAATTCATTTATAAATTCCAAAAATTTTTATACTCATTTAAGTTTATTGAAAATGAATTTAATTTTTTTTTAGTTAAAATGTTTTAATAATGAGTACCAACATTTTATTATTAAATTATTTTTATTGAAAACCTTTTACAAAAAATCTATTAACATTTTCGCTGACCGTATTCAGAGTATAATATTATGAGTCTGAGCGATTTACGGTAATTTTAACCAAAATTAGATATGAATAATTTTTTTTTGTAATTCATTAAGGGCATAAGAGTAATAGGTTTGATAGGAGGCTACAACATAATATTTTATGGCAACATAATATTGAAAAGCTCCTCCGACCTTACGTTTTTGAGACTTGGCTCAATAAAACCGAAACCGGGGCAACCGCGTTAACTACAGCAAATTGATGAGTGAAAACTTTATCCACTCTAGAGAAGCGGTTTTTAGTCAAAAATCTGAAGACTTCTTTTATAAGGAGACAATCTAAATGAATTTGACCAATGCATACAACGAACAGCAAAAAGAAAGAAATGCGCCTCTGCACAAACTCAACACGATCAAAATCGGTATTACTACTGAGGGATATCTCCGGATATTTATATAACAATGGAGTTAGAGTAGTTTAAGTGGGATATAGATGAGCTATAATAAGCCATAGTTGGCTGCGATGGTCGGAGGGGTCCTTTGTCTATGTCTCGTTTCAACAATCTACAATCGACATTACGATTGTAGACCCTAGATCAACGAGACCAGATCAATGAAACTCGATCTGCGTAATCTAAATGGTCCTCACGAAAGCAACATACAGATGTTACGCCACAAAAGGATCACTAAATTCAATACCTCACCTTATGATAAAACCCTCAGTAATTTATTCCTATTAAATTTATAGCTATGTTATTTAAATTTTTCAAAATATTTCAAGCACCGACATACTTTTTAAATTTTAAAAATATTTTCAATAAATTTTTATTTTTCAAAATCATTATTGAAAGTGATAAATTCAACACTTTATAAAAAAGGTCAAATTATTCACCTTTCAATTTTTATAAAGTGTTGAATATTTTCTATAGAATTTTCACCCACAATTATTATTATAATTTTAAATTAAATTTTTTCAAAAATATTAAATTATAAGTAGCATGAGGGAAATTTTGTACAACCGATCCAAAAATAGACCATTTCAAAAACATTTTCAATAACCTTTTCACTTTACTACAAAAATATTTTGGTTACAAATTTTTTCTTTTGTTCTTGTTTTTTTTTTTAATTTTCTAAGAAACAAAAATAAAATTTTTCTCCCAATAGTCTCACTAGCCCTACTTAAATTTTCATGTTTTAAAAATTAATTGATTATTGATTAAAAAAAATGTTTTCCTATCAATAAACTGGAAAACTTTTTAAAAATAACCTTTACCTGATTTTACCTTTAAAAACAAAAAGAGGAAGTTTAAAAAAAAACAAAATCACTATTTGTTTTTTTCTGTGTGTACAACAAGTTCAACTTTTTGTTCAATAAACCAAAAAAAAATAGAAAAAGAAAAAAAGTTGTAGAAAAACTTTCACCGATTTTGTAAAATTTTAAAGGAATTTTCTTAAAATATAAAAAAAAAAAAATTTTTGTTTCTTCCGTACCCTTATAGTTCATGTAGGTAACTGTGTGTAAGCGAGTCTTTAAAAATAGGAAATTTTTTTTTTTTAAATTACAACCATTTATTTTTGATTGAAAAAATACTAACAAAATATTTTCGAGCTTCATTAAATTTTCTTTAGAGTAATTCAACCGCAACATTGACCTTAAATTTATTTAATTTTATTTTGATGTTTTTTTGTTTTTCTTGTTTTCTTCCTGAATTGAATTTCCAGTAATTTTCGAGTCCTTTTTAAAGTTCTTACAAAAAAAAAAAGTTTTGGTTCAGTCATCTTCTTTTTTTATGACCTTGAGTAAAAGCTTAGTTGTTTCTTTTTGTTACAGAGAGATATCTTAATTTTCTTACCCCACCCTGTGTCATATTTCGTAGCTCCAATGGAAAAATATTGTATAAGG